GTAGCCCGTCAAATGTTGTGGAAAATCAATGGTAAATTTGGTTCGTAATGGTAATATTGGCTACCATTTTTGATAGAGAAAAGATAGCGAACTCTGGTTTTCACCATTCATTAAGTTTTTGTAAACCCTTCAAAATGAGGTGTTACTTGAAGGGGGTTTACATTTAAAATATTTGAGTTGCCCCCCAAATCCCCCCTTTTCCCAAAACACACTCAAAAATTTCAAAATCATAAAATGAAACTTTCTGCTAATATCGCACGACCACCAAAATGATATCTCTGTATATTTACTTGATAAAATAAATAATGAATTTAATTTTTAAAAATCCTAACTTGATGGGAATATTCTGTTCTAAAGGTATTCGAGTCGAGGGTAATCTTTTGAACGACAGGTGACAATAAGCATACATGAATTAAGCAGTTTAAAACATTATATACTAGGCTATTTGATGATAAATCTCAACAATCATATACTCTGTTTTTTTCCTTTCATTTTATTAGAGCAGTATTTTATGTTTCAGCATTCATGATACTTTTTATCTCAAAGATTTATTATTTAACTGTTTACTGTATAAGGAAATTCTTGGTTTAACTCTAAAAACTGTATGTTAAAATATATCTGTATGTTTGTATGTGTGTATGTATGTATTTACAGTATAGCCTAGTATGATGTGTAGGTATGTGTATTAGTATGTGTAGGCAATAGATTAGAATCCTTGGTGCAGTTCAAAAAATTGGAATGAATGTAAATTAGTTTAAATTTTATTTTAGCTTTTAAGTGAGTGCTTTTATGTTTATTATTTTTTATATCAGTGCAGTGTTGATTTTATTTAGATAGTGGAAGTGGACTTTGCCAACCAGACAGACGGTCAAATGACTATTGACTTTTGTGCATAAAAATAATACAATCTGTAAATTTGTAAACGATTGAGAAAAATAAAGCACTGTTATCTATCTATCTATCTATCTATATTTACTTGGAAAAATATTGGAGGGGGGTCTTGACTTTTTATTCACCGTGTATGTAATCATGGTATTATGTATATATATATATATATATACAGGTATTATGTATATAATATATGATACATATATTATGATACTTTTAAAATCGTGATATAATTACTGTATGACATCTTAATTATAATTCTAACATTTAAATTCTAAATACAAGTTCCTTAAATCCATCCATAAAATATGGGTCATTTTTAGCAATTTAAGTTGAATTTTAAATTTTAAATTGCACCAACTTATTTAATTTAACTTATGATTTTCTTCCTACTTTATAAAATACAATCAAAGTTTCATAAATATTCTTTTTGGAAAATTTTAAAAGTAAACTTTCTAACAAAACAAAATGGTGGTTGTATGATTTTTAACAAAGCTGTTTTGAGAAGGATTTTGTACTTGATTCTCCTGTTCATTTTGACTTGTAAAACTATTTTTTACATATTTTGGCTGTTTACTTTTGCTACAGCTACAACATTTGCTACAACTTTATAGTAAAATATGAAATGATTTTATATTCCTAGAATTTTAATTCAAATTCTCAATTAAGAATAAGGAACATATATAATCAAATAATTCAGTTTTTTTTTCTTAACTTTTCACTTATGACTTATTTAAAAAAAAAAAAAATTACAACTTTCACGTGATTTTCACGTGAAATTTTTTTACCATTTTCACTATTATATCGACTCGTAATTTTTACGTGATTTTCACGTTCACGTGTTCACCATTTTTTCACGTGATAATCACGTGATTTTCACCAAGTGTGCTGACTGGGATGTTCTTTGCAAAGTTGGACAAGTTTTTTTTATTCTAAAAGAATACATCCTCCTTCCGAACTTAGCTTCGTCGATCTCCACTATATGTCCAACACCACCAATGCGGATGTCTTGGTTCGCGACGTGATCGACAAAATCCTCCCTACAAAAAGAGTACCAGTCTACTACCGTGTTTGAAGCTAAACCAAAGTTCTGTTGAATAAATTCTTGCCGCGGTGGGGGTACGCAAAGCACGGTCGCTACAAAGTAAAATATGTCCGTAAAAGAAAGTCTTGCATTTTCCAAAACCGTGCCTTTTTCCCACTGGTGGTGAATCGAAACTTAACCTTTTTGGCTCTTGCTCGTGGCTCATACATTTTCCCGCACCTAAATACAAAATCCCCAAACTCGTCAAATACAAGTTCGTTGTTACACAAACTGTTCCCACAACGTCTTGTATGTCTATATACACCATGGTCTACAAAAAAAAACTGTAAAATTGTACCTTCATCTTTTCTTATTGCTTCCACAAATGAAACCACTTACTTGTCACAATCACCCGCTGCCATTAATAATTTTGTACAAGTAAAAAAATAGAAACTAGGTTTCAAAAAAGTATATGAAATCAAGTATCACGTTCACAAGTTAATCAAATAAGATCGTTTACTTCAGCTGTTTTTAATATTGCTAGGTAAATTTTTTTTACATATCACACTTATTCCAAATTGTTACAAACATATAAAACCTTTAAACATCTGCAGGATGGAAAGTGTTCGCATTCTGTTAGGTAATCAAAAGATAAATTAAAACAAACAATGTGTTAAAATATTCGCCAACAGCTTAATTACATGTTATTGCAGAGTACGCGTCACTGGACATTTTACTAGCACCACATTCTTAATAATATAGTTAGGGACGTACATTCTTGATTAAGTATTTCAATTGCAACGGATACAACGAAATCACATAAAAAGCGTTCTATTTCCAAAATAAGTTTAACAATATGAAATTAGTTATTTCTTGACACTTAATGAAATCGCAATAGCAACCATTAATTTGAAGACGTTTGCTTGAAACAATAAACAGTGAGACGCAGCAGCTATCCTCATTAATCAACTTGGAGATGGCGCTGTCATCCTGTCTAGCGTTGTAATTATACTTGACCCTTCCTCATTATTTCAATCTTAAATCACAAATGTTCGAGTCAGATTGTTAGGGGACGACTATTCTTTGCATTCAGAATTGTTTCCTTTAATTTATTATCGTGTCAAATTGGTTTGAAAATGTAATATAACGTTTGAATTTATAAACATGATGGATAAAGTATATCTTTTACTTTTTCCCTAGTTGGATATTAAGATAGGTACGTAAGCTGTTTTAGCATATTTTATTAAACCGACCACTGTCTTTCCAGATTTAGATAAGGATTTCTACGCCATTCTCTGAAGTCAAACATCACCAAACAAGGATTTTCGAACAAAACACAGTGGTTGTGTGAAAAGAATGATTATTCATATAAAATCATAAACAAATTTATCATAAGTTAATTTAGCATACCAGTCTGTTTCACTAAAAAAAAAAAAAAAAAAAAAAAAAAAACTATTTACCAAACGTTAAATAAAATATGTTAAAATAGATTTCGTCAACTTTTCACAATTTTGTAAGGGATAGTTACCCAAATATTTTTTTGATCCTTTCTACAAGAAGTGTTATCAAGAGTAATTATTTAAACCTGTACGTTGTTTCTGTTGTTGATCTACTCTTAGAAATGGACGATCACTCTGCAGCTAGAGTTAATACTTCGAAAATGTTCTTAAACTGTGGAGCTGACACCATGGGGCCTCTTTTTGTTAATCCAAACAATTTGCGCAGAACTAGCCCTGTAAAAATGTACTTGTGTATCTTAATATTCCCGGCTGTCAAATCTGTCCATCTTGAGGTATTTAGTAGCTTGACTTCAGAAGCCGTTTTTGCAGCTTAACTCGTTTTGTATCACAAAGAGGGACTGCTAGAAAATAATTTCTTGAAGAGTCTGAGTGTAGATTTTCTTTGTATTTATATTGAACTGAAGACGTCGAAACATTTCCATGGCTGATCGTGTGTGTGTCGATTGATTATTAGTTGCAGTACAATTGTTACTACTGAGGACCCCAGTCGTGGTCTGGTAGTTTTCATTGCGTGAGACGGATGGTGTGTTTATACGTTCGCAATAATAATTGCACCAAATTAAAAGGTTAAAATAATACGAAAGTGTCTTAAATGTAGAATAATGAAAATATTAAATGACTTTTGAACTAGTGTTAAGTTTTAAAGTCAACAAAATTAAAACAAAAGAAAGGTAGTTTTTCATGTATCGATAACGTAAAGAATTGTCAACAAAAATTAATGAAATATTTATACAATTATTTACCAATATGTCAATCAATTCTATATGCCAGCCTTATTTTATAGGACTATGTTCGATATGGTTCTTCGCCGAACTGTATTTACTTGTATTCCCTTTCAATATTTAAGTACATTTGAAACATTTTCAATTTTAATACATTCGTTATTATACTCAAGTCGAGTTGTTCAGAACTTTATCCTTATTGTCACTCAACGTTAATATTATTTTCGTAAAAGCGGTACTTTAATTTAAATGACTGGTCGATTAGTTGTAACCAATATTTGATCTGTAAAACACAACAAACCACCTCACTGATGAGTTTTCGTATAAAACCCTCGGTATAATAATCATGAGCTGATGTGTAACATCCACGCAAAGAAGTAATTACCCAACGCTGCGCTAAATATTGTATACAGCCTTAGAAGGTCAACAGCGTAAATAACTAGTAATGATAACATGTAGTGTATTTTTCATCGAAGACTTAAATAGCCAAAACACTTCTATCGAAAATATTTGTCACTGTTCATTAAGTTTATTGATGCTTTACTCGTCGTAAAAATGAGGTGATAAAACCTTAAGATTAACTACAGTGTTGTATAATGACTACAGAAAAATGTGGAGCCCGAATCACGAAAGTTATTTTATTTTTATTTGAAATTTTACTGGTTCTAAATTTAAAAGATTATTTACACTGATTATAAATTAAAAAAACACTGGTAAATATATTTTACTCTAATCCTACCGACGAGAAAATCGGGTTCAACATAGATTTTATGACAAAACTATCCAAAAACATAAGATCCAAGTATCGACGGCAACATTTATCCAAACAAATTATCACTACGCAACCAGAACACATTCTAAATTCACTAAAACTTACAGAAATTATACATATTATGAACAAGTTCCCTCAAGAATTACCAAGCAAAATTTTGAAAATTTGTCCCAATTGCGCAATGGAACACTTAGGACCTCATCAACGCGGTAAGAAACTATGAATGGCTTATTAGATATAAAGGTTTACATTATTGAAAATATCGGGTTTTTAAAGATGTTGGTTCTTAATTTTTTTTTACCGCTCGGTTTTACAAAAACGAGTATAACAATATTCTAGCAGACATAGAAATACTATGACTATGTACTATGAAAGCAGACTACTGTGTAAATTTAAATCAATAAACAATGAAACCCGGGCTGTGAAACAAATATTGAGAATTATAACCTCAACTTTTCTTCATACCACTAAGTCGAGGAAAAATCGCCGGGAGTGTTTCAATATTATATAGAAACAACCTGATTATGACACATTTTTGTTTGTGTATTCATTAAAATTCTATTTTTTTCGATCATAAAAAAAAACTCAACGAACCTTACACTAAGTTCATTAGGAATATTGATATTTTTTTATATAGTTTCGTCGGATTGTCAACAGTCTGATAACTTCCGTCAGATGGTGTTTTTCACATCGTCTACCCGACCTCTATCAGTCATCTTTGTGGTCTCATGTCACCCGGTCGTTGTGTTACAAACTAAGTTTGTTGATTACAATTCCACAAATCATATTAAAATGTTTTTCACCTATAAGTTATGTACTTGAGTACTACCCTATACCATAGACTATGTTTTATCTATGCCTATACGATGTTGTAGGCTACGGAAGAAGCAAAGTGACGGTCAAGGACCGCTGCGCAGGCTGTGTGGAGACTCTCAAGTCGTTGTGTCGTCACTCCGAAGACATCACACTCTTCCAGATCCTCGGAGTTGTCTATCGTATCGTCATCACTGCACTGAGCTCACTAGTGGGCCTGACCATAGCCCTGCTGCCCTTGGCTGAGTTTCTGATGCTTTTGGTCCTGTATGTGGTTGAGTCCATAGCATGGACTTTGCAAGAACCTAGTGTTTCAGTCGCTGTTGCAAAAGTGAGTATTGTCTTTATTCCAAACGATTCATGTCGATAACAAAGTTGGTAAATATTTTTTCAATTATATTCATGAATTAATTGTACCAGAATTTACCCAAGCATTCACAAACTTATCACTGACACTTATTCTTACAATTAACGGTGCGCTCTACCTATCCGCCGCGCGCTAATGCAAAGGTTTAGGATCTCCGTCATTGTCGGCTTCGTTCTTAACCAATTGAGAATATGTTAATGTTAATTTTTTTTTAATTTTTTTTGTAGGTATGTATTGTTTTAACTTTTTGGTAATAGTAGAATTTTAAGTGGGAAATGACTGATAAATACATAAGCTTTAAATATATAAGCTTTTTATAGCATTTCATACATATGGATGGATTTTTAGAAGAAAATTTAAATGATGGAGTCATAAATTTAAATCTAAGGTGTAAGGAACATTCTTAAGATACAAAAAAATTAAAAGTTAACTGAGTAATTTGAGAGGACTTAAAGTCTGCAAGGGCTTCGTGCGGCGCTGTTCAATGACACAACATAGCTACTGAAGCCCGAGCTGAGATTTCTGAGCTGAGGTAGAGCGCACCCTTAAAATAATTGATGCAATTTTCATATATAATTTGATTTCAATTATATACATAAAGCTGTATTTTTGCAGGGTGTGGCAACGCTGGTCGCTGTGCTCATATTAGGCTGCATAGCAGGGTGTCTGGTCCATTATTTGATGCTGCCAACTCTACATTTGCTCTTCACGGTTTTCTCGTAGACTGCTACATGTAAACATTAAACATTAAATTACCGGCCAAAGTATACTTTGAATATTATTTTCTCCTGTAGGGTCCAAAACCATTGTAGTCTTAGGGGTAAATTGAAAAGTAAATCTAGAAAAGGATTGGTGGTAAATTTTAAGTTTAGATAGCGCAGTTAATCTTTCAAATAAAAGTATAAACTAAAGGTTTCTAATGCACAATACAATTCTATACTAGAGATTATTATATTTTCCCAGATTTCAGATCCAACCTAAAGTTTTGTTTTAGGTTTGTCTGTCCGTATTATTATTTTCCTACATTATAAAAGATTCCAAATACTTAAGGTGTTGTATTTATTGTGTTCCTCATTTCTATGTTTTACATAAAATAATTATTCAGTGAATGTGTCGAAAAATATTCGAAAATAATGAAATATTCGATATTATTGATTACAATCTTTGAGTCTCCAATGTATGTGTTAAGTTACTCGCCCGTTTATCAAATTTGAAATGTACTACCTCAAATAATTCTTGATTTAAAAACCGACAAGTTGGTTTGTAGCTAGCATTTTTAAGAAGTTGGCAACGTCTTGTTTAAGTATACAATCCACACAGTCGTGAGAGATTCGCGAGGACGTGGAGTAGTCATCGATCAAGCTGAATGTTTGCCTGTCTATTAGCAAGGCAGCTTACAAGTGATGCTGTTAGGTTAATGCTTGTGTTCACAGATCTTCACTGTTCTGTACCATGAAGAGCCTACATTACACGCCTTGTAGATCAACTACTACCGTTGACTAAGCACTCTACTTCAGTTGTCTGTGGGAAGGGTCAAGAAGACGTACATGGTCTAATGCACTCATAGATTTGATTTACATTTTGGTGAAGTAATCAATTCAATCAATAATAGATTACGTAATTGTAATTTTCACTTAAGCTACATACAAGCATTAGATGAACGCAGGGTTAATTAAAATTGCTTAAAAACAAAATTTATTGAAAAAAAGGTACTTTCCTGTTAAAGGGAACATTCATTATTATCGATGATTTATGTTCGATATATCGATATTTTTGTTTTACTTCACGATTGGTGCTTCTGTTTTAATATCTTCATACGCATTTAAATTACAAATTAAGAACCAACCTTGTTTAGGCAAAAATAATAGCCTATATATTGGATTAGGACATGAAACTATTCTAAACTAACCTAACATAACTAACCAAACTTGCTGTATAGGCTAAGTTACCGTTTCAAAATTCCATTTGATAACAGAAAAGGCATATGGGGAATAGGCTATCAAACGGAATTTTGAAATGTTACAGCAAGTTTGGTTGGTTAGGTTAGTTTAGAACAGTTTCATTTCAATATAATATTTTTTTAAATTGTTTGTCGATACTGAACAATATTTATTTACTGAATCCTATATCGTACTTGTCAGCTGATATGTTTCAATTTGTTACTATCAATATATCGGATGGAAAACAAAAATATCGATATATCGAAAATAAATCATCGATAATAATGAATGTTCCCTTTAACAGGAAAGTACCGAAAAAAATTAAATCGATTTTATACATGTTTTTATCCTAAGCCGTCCGAAATTTTCCATTTTTAGCAACAAAAAAACACTTAAAAGCCTGGTTTTGCTACCAATCGCAAACATAATGATTGCATAATTCGTTTATAGCCCGATGTGGATAAGGGTTTACAATTGATTCTGTTAGGATCCAACCAGCAACCTTCAGGTATGAAGGCGAGAGCTGTACAGTATATCCACTTTGGCGACACATAGGATTTTGGTTCATTCAGTAAATCTTATTACTGAAATATGGCTTATCGCAAAAATTGTAAGTGTTTTAACATAAGGGAGCACTTCGTAGGCTTATTAACTAAATCAATCAGTTATTAGGAATAATCTTAATATATCAGTATATTTTTAATAAATACTTTTTACTTTATAATAACTTAATATTCAAAATTTTTGTTTTTAAAAACTTATTATTGTGACTGAAAATATATTTTTGCTCAACAGCCTCTTCCTCGATTGTCTAGTATTGGGTTCTGTATCCTCTGTGAGATCAAACTCCACAATTAATTGCGATGTTCCAGTTTTCCTCTGTGATGTCTAGATATGTATTATATCAAAGGAATGTTGTTATTGTTGTGTAATTGTATCATCTCGCCACATGCCCGGTAGCCTGCAACGCTAACGCCACCGCTGTAACGCTATAACGCTCTAACACACAACCACCGACGCGGCGGTGTGTAAACGTTCCGCAATTATCGCGTTATTAAATCTGCGAGCTGCTTTTGAGTGTGAACCGTTTTGGCGGGCTTAGAAATTAGTTTGATTTGCGAATTAAAAGAACCGAGAGTTTGAGCATTTAATTACGAGTCGTAATTACGCTGTGACCTTTGAAATCTGTAGTTAAACTTTGTGATTTTAATATAACCTCCACAACTAGTGTTGATGTATGTAGTAGCTAAGTCAATCAAGTGTTTCATAATTTAAAGGAAACTTATTTCCGTATTTACACACAAAACACTGCACTGCTACACTGCTACTTTTTTGTTAGATTTTTTATTCAGTCGTGAGTCGTTTCTCATTCAACAGGTATAGATGTATGAGCTATTCCGTTTTTTTGTTTTTTTTTTCATGTTATAATTGTCTCAAAGATTTGATTATAAACTACTTTCAACTTTGAAAATTTTTTTTTATCCTGACCAAATGTAGTCGGCTGCTTTGTTTACACTTAAATAATATTGTTGTTTAAATATAATGAAGTACATGGATGTTAATAAATCATTACCTAGCCTTCCTTTCGGCGTAAAGGTTGTCATGAGGATTATTTCTTTTGAAATTATTCAAATTTAATTTTTTATACTTAAATTTAAATTTACTTTTTATTGGTTAAACTGTACAGTTTAGTACTCGGTAGTGTTATGCATTAGAAATCAAATTTTGTGTAGCTTCTAAATCTAAAAGAATCTCGATTGAAACTTTTATTTACCTACACTGATATTAATATTCATTTAACCTGCCTATAATATTTGGGTAATTTTATTTCGTTTGAGGTATGTGATAGCAATTATGTGGAATAAACTTGCCAATGCAGTTTTAGCTAAAATGTAACGATGCAATTGTGTTCAATGCAAACAATAGAGAAGCTGACGCAATGAATAAAACATTTACCCTTGAAATACGTTTTCTTTACTATTGGAGTTGAATAAAACAACTAAAGCCTACAAGACATGTTGCGCTGTATTTTGAAATACACGATTTCGACCAATAATAATATGATATTCTTACTATGTGTTTTAAAGTATTTTTTTAAGTAATTTTTAAAGTATTTTTTTTTTTTTGGGGGGGGGGACCTTCTATACGGTAAATCGAGGATAGCAATTTGGTATTGCTAAGGTAACTTGGAAGTTTTTAAAATCGGAAACGTCTGTCCAGAGCCTAATTTGCTATTTACTCTAAATGACTTAAAATAATGAGATAAGCCGACAACACGAGGACAAGAAAATTGAACTTACTAAGGACTTAGGCAACTTTGTAGAAAGTCTTTAAAATTAGAAGCTTACTACAGTACTATGTTTGTCTACTATCATGTTCCAACCCTACTATGTTTGTGTTAATGTTTAAAATTATTTACTCTCAAAAAATGTACCTAACTTAAAAAGTTTAAACAGGTATTATAAAGTGTTTAAATTAAAACTAAACCTTAGAATTGATTAAACCTTAGAAACACTCTCTTTTTTTAAAAAACAACTTCTACATTCTACCACTTTTTCCAACAAAAAAAAAACATCTATATTATGACGGACTCCTGCTCTTCAATACTTTGCCAAATCATCTAAAAATTGAGTCACACCCTGTCATAAAAAAAATCTCCGGAAATTACTAATATCTAAATTCTACTACCGTGTCCGTGAGTTTATTGCTGACGGGCAGTCATGGGCATAAGAGGTGCATTTTCAAACAAAATGTAAAAATAAACCAAATGTAAATAGCTTATGGCATGTAGGATAAGGAACTTTGTCTATATTTTATGTATTACTGTAATTGACGTAACCAATGCATGTAACTTATGTAAATCTGGTTCAATAAATGACTTATGACTTAATTAATTGCAATGTCGATACGTTGCAAATTGTCAAGGCAATGAAGTATTATTGTTATTTGTATTATTATTATTGCACTTGAGCTACTTATTTCTTAAAAGAAGCTAAGTAACATTATTTTTTGTATCTATAATGTACAATTTCTGTTAAGATGGAAATCAATTTGAGCTTCCATTGATATCCATCTTGTAAATTAAGGTTATGATACCAATATTACTGATGGTATATTGAAATTTGAAAGCATTCGTTAGGATGAGTGTTTGAGCAAGCGGCCAGCCACCCCCTTCCTCGACTACCGCCCGCCACTATACATATCCATCCCTGTACCAGAGAAGCGGAGTCGAGTGCTGTGAACACATACATTAGCCTAATACGTCCTCTCTACATTCGTGTATTACCTTGTTGATAGAACGGCAAACAGACTGACTGATTGATGGGATCTATCGCATTGGTCGATTAACACGAGTCAATGAGCATTGATCATGACAGCACGTTACTCCCACCACCCTCACTAATATCACTGAGTATTGACATTACACTACTCTACTACTCACGCTAGAATCGCTGTACATAAACAGCACGCTACGACGCTACTGTACTACTTAAACTAGAACCACTTTACATTAACAGCACCCTACTCTGCTTCTTAAACTAGAATCACTGCAAATTACCAGAACGGTACTCTTCTACTCACACTAGAATTACTGTACATTAACAGAACGCTATTCTACTACCCACACTATTACTGTACATTATCATTACACTACTCTACTACTTACACTAGAATCTGTACATTAATAGCACACTACTCTACTACTCACACTATTACGGAACATTTACAGTACACTACTCTTCGTCACTTTGCTACTCACACCAGAATCATTGGACAATCAATGAGCATTGAAAGCTTATTACTTAGCAATTATTCAGTGAAATTGTAT